ACAAAATACTGTAAAGAAGGGAAACAATATGCGCATTCCGGCGAAGACGAATCGGGAGCCACTTGAGTTTTGCACGGAAATCGGATACATGATCATATTTGCGTAAACCAAATATGAATCTGATACAGAAGTTTTGTAACCGCTCAAGTTTGTTAAGTTGCTCCTCAGTAAGGTCAAGATAGCTAACGTCTGCGTAATCCAAAATGGGGAGAAGGAGAGCTTGTGCCAGCGCAGTTTTAGTGGCGAGAGGGAGGAAATTGCGCAGTCTTCTTATGGACCCAGCCGCAGCAAACATCTTACGGCTCACTTCCTGGATTTGGGTACCCCAAGTGAAATTTTTGTCAATTAGCACACCCAAATTCCTAACACAATCACTAGGAGTTAATGTGATACCGTCAAATGTGATCAATGGTAGTTGAGTCCAGTCGATTTTATTAATCATCGTAGAGTTGCCAACAATAATGAGTTGAGTCTTGGATGGATTTATTATTAAACCATATGATTTACTCCAATTAGAAATTCGGTTCAGATCATCATTCACATTAGTAATTAGTTGATGAAGTTCGATTAGTCGTGCTTGGGAGTAAATTTGCAAATCATCTGCATAAAGGTGGTAGGACGAAATAAGTTGACTGGAAATAGAATTGATAAAAATAGCGAAAAGTAATGGAGATAAAACGCCACCCTGTGGCACCCCAGCAGATATATCGCACCAAGCTGAAAAAGAATTGTCGATGCGAATTCGCTGTCGGCGACCAAACAGGTAACTATGAAACCAGTCAATTACCGCTGGAGATATGTTAATAGAGCGCAGTATGCCAAGCAAAATATCATAATCTACAGTGTTGAATGCATTGCTGAAGTCAAGCAATGATAGGATCGTAACCTTTCCATTTTCCATTCCCGACCTTATGTCGTCTGTGACTTTGACCAATGCCGTTGTAGTACTGTGCCCAGCACGGAACCCTGACTGGTATGGATTAAGGAGGCGATTCTTGAGAAGGAAAGTCGATAATTGGTTATGGACGAGGCGCTCTAATACTTTAGATAAAAAGGGTAGGATTGCTATGGGTCTGTAGTCGGAAGAGGATGATGGTTTGGATTTTTTGGGTAATGGGATGACTTGAGCATCTTTCCATGCAGATGGAAAGACCCCAGCCCTTATAGAGTAATTAAAGATGTGTGTAAGGAGTGGAAGAACTTCATCTAAGATAAGGAGTATCATTTTTCGGCTAATACAGTCACTACCTACGGCCCCTGATGATATTGACATAATGCTCCCCTTAACATCATAGTCGGAAAATTGACGAAGAGAAAATGATGGAAATTTAGGGCTTGGAATAGAAGAAAGAAAACTCAAAGTATCCAACTTTCTTGTCGAATCAAAAGTATAAGAGGAACAGAACTGTTTGTTGAGCAGGTTCATATCAAAATTCGTATTAGAAGATGTATGATGTTGTTTACCAATGCCCATAGATCTAAGGAATTTCCAGATTTTTGCTGGATCAGCTTTTTCAATCGAGTTGTGAATAAATTGGCGTTGTGCATTCCTACACATCTTATTGCATTGATTGCGGATATAGACATATTTTTCCCAATTAGAAGGGGTGGGACGACATTTATATCTCGTTTTGGCGGCTGCTTTACGTTCTGATAGCAGTTTAATATCTTGAGTAATCCAAGGTGACGGGCGGTGCTTCATCTTGACTGGACGAATTGGCGCATGTACATCATAAAGCGCAGTAAGGTTCGACACAAGAAATTGAAGTTTGCCATCTACAGAGTCACAATTAAGAAGTTGCGACCAATCCGTATTAGCTGCATCATCGCGGAGCTTATCAAGATTGACACCACTAAAATTGCGCTGCAACAGAATTGAGGGCTTAGCTTTCGGTGGACGCGTTTTATATGATAGGAAAATCAGATCATGATATGAGAAGGCATCAGCTGGGAATTGTCCATGTTTAGCAACATGATGAAGAGAAGAGACAATGAGGAGATCTAAGAGAGAAGGAGAACAATTTGGAAAATGATGGGTAGCATTGAGTGTTGGTATATGTAAATTACTTGATTGCAGGACAGTTCGAAAATTTGCAGAACGCATGTCATTCTTGAGAAGACATGTATTAAAATCACCCATTATTATAGTATGACTGTAAGAAGGACACAGAAGCTCAAGCTTATTTTCAAATGAAGAAAAGAAATTAATATGAGATGATGGGCTATAGTACACCCCCAGAAGAATTTTTGCATGTCTCAGTCCAATCTCAAGGAAGAGATGCTCGCCAGCATTAGCTGGAGGTGGCTGAGACGACATATCAATCACAGAGAAAGGAATGTATTTACGGAGATATATGGCGACACCACCACCACCACCGACGCAACGATCATTCCTTATGAGGTTAAAATCAGGTAATGAATAAGAAAGGGAAGGGAGACATGGTTTGAGCCATGATTCAGAGACAAGGATGGCATGGATGTTCTTACAGTCAAAGGTTGTCAGCATATCTGAGAAATGGGCCGGAATGCTCTGGGCATTTATATGAACCACATTGAAGTTTCTAGGAACATCAGAGAAACAGGAGTTAAGAGAATCAGCCAGTGAAGGAATGCTTATAAAACTATCGTTATCGCTACTATCAGCAGATACAAAACTGCTGGAATCACCATCACTAATTAAAAATGACATTTTTATAGTAATAAATAAATAATATTTAAATAAATAACAAATATATATCACAATATGCTTCAAATATCACTAATACAATAATTACAATAAAACCCATTAAGACACCATAACCACCCACTCATGCTCACCAGAAAAGACAATAATAATAAAAACAAATATCAATGTACTATATAATAGTACAACAGAAATAAAATAATAAGTTAAGATAACATTAAGAACAAATTTGTATATGGCTGTATGATATGGATTCACAATAATTCAGCGAAACAAACTATGACAACCTTAGATGATAACTTGACAATGACATTGAGTGACAGTGACAAGTATTTGTTTGTAATGTCTAGATTTTTTATCATTTATTAAAAAAATAAGTTAACTTGTGAAGCAAAGTGAATTATGAGTTCAACTATTGTAAAATAAAAGTCAATTGTAAGGAAACAAGAAACAATTGCGAAAATCACTTGAAGCATGCTGGGATGATAATATCAATTCGCTTACATGTTGAATATTTGCTTCATATTTACGAACGAAGTCAGCAATTAGAACTATTTCTTGACGCCCGCAGCCCTCCTAGCTTTTGGAATTGCCTTCGAAGTTGCCACAGGCTTTGCGGTCTCGAGTTGTAACGATCGAAGCTCAGCGATAGTGGTTAAGCGGTGCCTAGTATTATCAGGACTGAGAACGTGAATAATACCTTCCTGTGTCCAGCACCGGTTCACTCCAAATTTCTCACGAGCAGCAATAAAAGTACTTCGGCGAGATTGAGTCAAGAACTCCGAGACAGTTGCACCAGAACCCTTAAGCTTGGCTTTACTAAACCAAACCTGGTCACGGATGGCTGCATGCTCGAACTTAATGATGATAGGTCGAAGCTTGTCGCTGTTGTTTCTTGATTGTCCCATTCTGTGACACCGCTTAATGTCCTTCAGTGTGAACTCGTTGACTCCCAATTTATCCACAACAAACCTTACCATCAGCTGTGACAGGTCTTCATTAGCCTGCTCCTGAACACCATGCAATAAAAGCATCTTTCTGCGGCCCTGCATCTCGAGCCTATCAACTGACTTTGCAAGGACATCAAACTACAATTAAAAACTACATTTGTTAACAGTATTTAAATTATTCCTTCTTCTTTGTCTCTCACTCCGACCTGAAAATGTTATACGTCGAGGCATAATGAAAATTCTTTCATGAAATCACTGAAATCAAGAAGAGAAAAAGATTTGTTTAGCTTCTACATTAAAACATATAAAAGATCTTTAAACCAGCAATAACAGATATATATATTTACCAGTATGATGAAATTTTTCATTCATATTACTGCTAAAGAACTTTCATTAAAAATAGAAAGATAGCACATTTGTATATTGCATTGCATTATACTTACCACTAAAAATCTGTTTTTTTTTTTCCTTTAAGTATATGAAATTACTGTAATCGAAAATCTTTTGACATTCAGTAAGACCACAGTAAACATCACTGACTAATTGCATAAACCCTGCGAAGCCAATATTCAAAAGAAACAAACAAACTCTATGTAAAAAAAAAAACAATTTGACCACAGAGTACATGTATGCGTGTAGCAAATACTTGTTTGTGTGTATCAAATGCATAGTAGTGTGTGTAATATTTTATTTATAGATTTAATTTACTTTATAAATATTATTATTTAATAATATTAGCCGTTTGCACTTCTCCTACATATAAACTATAAGTGTGCCAAATTTCATACTCCTCCGTCCTCGCAATTTTCGTAAAAAGGAGTCCAAAGTTTTTGCTTCAAGTATGAATATATAGATGCTGTTTATTTTTATTTTGAGCCTTCAGATTCTGTTACATATAGTAACATTTTAAATATAGTAACAAGCGATCAAAAATTTTATAAAATGGAATTAACACATAATGTTTAAAATTAACTTTTTTGGTATTGTAAATTAAGCTTGATTAAACCTTACTAATTACAATAAAATTTAATCATCATCACTTGAAACTTCGATAATTTTTGCAGTAAATAATAGATTTTTATAAAATGTATGATACTTTTCGGGTATAATAAATTCTTCTTCTTATTCTTATTCTTATTTTCGGGTATTATATTATTATCACAATAATATTGCAGATCCTTATATTTTGGTGCATTTATTTTTAGCAAACTATCATATGCTTTTTCAGGCAAGGGTTCTGAACGAGCTAAACGAGTGTTACGTTTCTTAAAACACTGAATTTTCTGGCCTTCACGATCTCCCAAACTGTATTTATATTCCAGTAGACCACCATTTTCGGGACTAACCAAAATTTCTTTAATTTTATTTCAAGACACTTTTTCTTTATTAAAGTTTTTAGTCCAGTTTTTATTAGAAACAATCTGTGCCTTAAAATCTAAAATCATTTCTTGGTTGACCTCAATCACATTATAAGGTTTATCATTTACTTTTGCCCATCTAACGAGTGAGTACCATTCATCCGGTGAGTATACTTCAGAATCTCCTTCGTTTTGTGTATGACCCTTTTCCATAAAACGATGGCAGATCTTGATATTAAAATTTTGAGAGGCTAATAAGTACATGTAATAAACGATGCGATTGCGGTTTTGTCCGCCACAGTTGTCTGACCATAGATGAAATTCAGAAATCCCTTTAGAAACTAGTTTTGAAATAAAATTGTATAAACAACTGGCTACTTCATTAGCACCTCTTTTGGCTATTGTTTCGTCCCACATATAGCAGAAAGCTTCTTTTGAAGCCATGTCAAATAACGTTAAATTATATACATTAAGCTTGCGCCTATAATAGTAAACGCTGATATTACCATGGGGAGAGTTCAGTACCTTCTGAAAATCAAACACTATAGAACATGCTATTTTGTTATTAGATATGGCAAACATTTTAGACTCTAATTTTAATTTGCGTGAAATTTCTTTTTCAGTTTGGTGCTTATTAAAATTGTCTTTTATTTCATCTGAAGGGTTAGGTGTATTCTTAAACTGATGACAGACGTCGCATTGATCTTTTTTTGGTAAATAAAATCCTATCTTCAAGTTAGCATTAACTATATCCCTATATTGTCTTACTGTCTTTACTTTATTACTATAATTATTCTCGCAACACCAATCTAAATACAATTTAAACATTTTTGAAAACGATAGAGAAGGATCCAAATATTTTTTGTTTGTACATTTTCTGACGTAATGTGATTCGATTGGTACAAAAGAATTTACGTGATCTATGACTCCCTGTTTCATTTCTATTGTAATTGAGGTGGCATGATGTTTATGACGACCTCTATCATCAGTTATATCGGTAAAATCATTACAATCCTGGTTTTTGCGTAAGGCAGTGTAAGCGAAGTCTTTACTTATATTAAAAGTATTCAAGAACATCGTTTTGCATACTTTTTGTAAAGTATTCGTTTTAGTAGCAGGATTGTACAAAGGAAGATGATAATGAAAAGTATGTGAACGACGACTAGATTCATCTAGATTAGTGGCTGTCTTTTTGTTTTTTTGTATAACGTATTTTGATATGATTTGCCATTGTTTAACGTGGCTACCAGTGCCCCAAAATTGGGAAAAAAGATCAGCCCGCATCTCTTCATTTTTTGGCGTTGATATATCAGTATAGTCACTTTCGTTCATTGTTGTAGGTGAAAAAACAGCGGAAGACTGGAGGGATTCTATAGGTGAAGGGCTTGTTATACCGTATCTATTAGAATAAGAACTATCTACTGGTGAATCAGAAAAAATATTTTGAGTGGATGCAATATTGTGTCCTGTTGGTAGTATACTTGTATCTTCGTGAGAAACAGGTACTAAAGTTTCGTCAGAATATACTAAACTACTCGTATCTTGAAAATCACAATAAGGTGATGGAACTGGAGTACCCTCTTCATCATAAAAATGTTGACAATCGGTAGAACTTATAGAAAACAAAGGTTCTACTGATAGTGGAGTCATAACCATTGAAGATGGTTTAATGATATCAACAGCTTGAGGCGAATCTACTATTGGAGTACTTGGGAGGCCCGTGACGTTCAAGTTAATATCTTTGTCTTTCATTAAATGACAGGTTGTCAAATCATTGCCCTTACCAGTTGTATAGCTATAATCACATTCATTTTTTGAAGTTTCATCGAATATATGATGTAACAAAGCTCTGAATTCAGGTGTTTCAGTTTCTTTCGGTAATGGGGATGACCCTTAAACAATATACGATCAAAATATAAAAAAAGTTTTATATTCTATTTAAGATATTAATATGTGTATGACTTTTGACGTACACACATTTATAGACATACATATTTTTAAGTTAGAATATAATAAATTGTTGAAACTAACACATCAAATATCAGTCAAAACTAAATAAACACCGTTTATGTCGAAAATCTTAAAATTAATTTATCTGTTTATTATGATTTAATATATATAAGATACCAGTCATTTAATTTCAATAATAAAAACTGTATAACAATAAAAAAAACTGTGTAACAAAAAATCATTATAAAAACAAAATTATTGGCCAAAAGATCAATTGAACATTATTTTAGAGCTAATGCAGACTAACAGAAGGTTATTTCGATCCGACATCGACATTATGAACGCATAACACTAGGCTAACTAAGAAATAGCGTAGTCTTATATGGACATTGTTCCATACGCCTTAACTTTGGATATAAAGTAGCTTAGGACTATAAATACACACATATTTTTAAATTGTTATTTAATTTATAACTCTGTAATCAAAATAAAACTTACTTCTCTCGTCATTCCAATTTGGTATTTCACTAATTATGTCAGAAGTAATCAGTTCGCAATCTTTGTTTTTACTTAACTGCACTAAATATTGAGCTCGTTTTCGTGACATTATTGTTTTTATTAGTGAATACAAGCACTAAAACAAAAACACACAAATAACAACTAGTAATCGTCAATTTTTCTGTTAGGATACTTTTATTTATTGATTACTGACAACACGGCAACAAGTGCATGTTAGACTAATGTAAACAAACAAGCGCCTCCCGCGCCCTCCGCAAAGACGCAGCCAATCAGTGTTAGCTTAATGTAAAGCGGGTTATTTAAAAAAGTATATTTACTTAGCGGAGTGTTTAATTTATAACTTTGTCAGTTTTGAGCATTTCGATGTAAATTTATTATTATAGTTTCTAGTCCATATGTTAAACAATATGCCGTAAAAAACATCGGTTGACCAAAATTTAAGTTAGCGTAGTCTAAGTTGCTGGTGTCGATTTATACTGTTGCAAATAGAAAATGCAACAATCTCATATCAAATATAATTATTACTTTTTTTTTTTTTTTTTTTAATTTCGACTTACAAAACTGATTACAATCAAAAATATAAACAATACAACTTTCACAAAAAAGAAACTGGATTGTAACCTTCTAGATGTAAGTACAACATGCATTTTAAAAATTAAACAATTTTTTCACAGAAGTGACTAAAGCCGAAACATAAAATAATTTAAACTACAAAATATTAGTAAAGTTATCATGCTTTTCTCAAGAACCAAAAACAGATCTTAAGCTCTGCCTAGCAGAAGCAATAGACCCGTTGAATATGTCGAAATTAAATCTTATTGATTCATAGCTAGAACACATGCGATATAGCGGTGAATGCTGACCGAGACGAGTTCTACGGAGTGGCAATGTAAATGTTTTTCTGTTATGTATTCGACTCCCAATCCTCGGAACTGTGATCTTTATTTTTTCCAAAATATCAGGGGAGTTAATACAACCGTTCAATAATTTAAATATAAACATAATATCCAATATTTTTCTGCGGTCGTGGAGCTTAATCATTTTATAATAGGATAGACGGGATTCGTAAGTTGCAATTTGACGACATTTATAGTCAGAGAATGCCAGATGATACAAGAAACGCTTCTGCACTAGTTCCAATCTATTGGAATAAACTTGGTAACCTGGATTCCATACTGGACAGCAATACTCTAGAATACTTCTCACTATAGAATTAAAAATAATAATTGTGATATAAGGGTCGCGCAAAATCTTCATTTGTCGAGTGATAAAACCAGATAGCATTGAAGTTTTTTTAATTACAGCATCGATATGAAATTTGAAATTAAGAGAGCTATCCATAATCACTCCCAGGTCGCGAATACAAGATACTTCCGTCAAGGGTATATTCTGTATGCAATAAACAGCGTTAAGTGAGCGCAACTTTCTGGTGAATTTTATATGAAAACATTTTTCCAAATTTAATTCCATTCCATTAGCGCAGCACCATGAATAGATATTATTTAAATCAGCTTGTAGTATATCTATATCACGCTGGCTTCCTATAGTGCGATACAATTTTAAATCATCTGCATACATTTTAAATTTGGAGTCAATATAATTTGAGATATCGTTAATAAAAACAATAAAAAATAGTGGTCCCAAATGAGATCCTTGTGGGACTCCAGAAGGGACAAACCTACTTATTGATTTGTGTCCATATAAGGAAACCAGTTGGGAACGATTTCTCAGGTAAGATTCACACCACCTCAAAAGCGATCCATGTATACCAACCCCTTCCAACTTCGCCATCAATGAGTCATGATTTACAAGATCAAACGCTTTTCGGAAATCTGTGTATATGGCATGAACTTCATCTTGCCTGTCCAAAGCTTCGTAAATATCATTGACGTAGGCAACTAAGTTGGAGGTGGTAGATTTTTGAGGCAGAAAGCCGTGTTGGTCAGCATTCAAAAGACTTTTAACCTGATTATATACGTACTTCTGAACAAATGCTTCAAGAACCTTACCCGCAGTCGACAGTATTGAAATAGGTCTATAATTACAAACGTCGCTTATATCACCATGTTTATGAATTGGCTTTACATGAGCAGTTTTCCAATAAGACGGAAATACTCCTGACTCAAGAGACGTATTGTAAATAATAAATAAAGGCTTGCATAAATATTTAGCACAACTTTTAAAGAATAATGGTGGTAGTAAGTCAGGACCGGGCCCTTTGTTACAGTCTAGTTTCGATAGGGAATTGAAAATCTCCTTCTCGGTAATAAAAAAGTTACTAATTGACAGATTTGTGTAATTGATATTGATATTTCTATTCGCTACATTCAATATGTTATGAGCATCGAAAACGTTTTGAAAGCACTTAGAAAATAGTTCACAAATTTGAAGACCACCAGTAGCCACAATATCACCTAAGTGCATCACATTTGGGATTGAAGAGTGGTTTGACCTCTTATTATTAATAAATTTCCAAAAATATTTAGGACTATGTCTGAGATTGTCCTTCGTTCGATCTTTAAACTTAGCATAACATTCTTTTATTATTGTTTTGCAACGTTTTCGTAAAATATTATAAGTGTACTTATCTAAAGGGTTGTTATATTTTTTATATTTGGAATGGTACAAAGCCTTCTCTTTTAAAACTTTTATGAGCGATCGACTAAACCAAATAGGGTACTTATCATTACGAAGCATTTGACAAAGTGTATATTTCTTTACTATTGGCATGATGGAATCATAAAATATCGTTACCATATCGTCAATATTCTGGCAATCTCTCATAATAAAACCCCAATCCAATAAAGCAAGTTCACTGTTTATACTACCATAACTACATGCTTTAAAGTTAAGCATATTCATTCGTTTAGGCTTAAGCCATCTATGACTAGGAAACGAGATATTGATTATCAAAGGCGGATGATGTAAGTCTATTTTCTCTAGTAAAAGTTCTTCTTCAGCCATAGATACCGCAACACAATCTGCCCTATTAGTGAAAATTAAGTCAAGAATGCGTGAATTCTTATTTGTTATTTGGTTGCATTGATAAAGTCCATTAAAGGAAGTTACATCTATTAAAAGGTTTTCTAAATTTCCAGTGACGGGTAAAGGAGTCAAACCATCATCAAGCGAATTTCCATCTTTAATCCAGACTATGTTTCCCAAATTGAAATCACCAACTATTAGCGTAACGGATTTAAGAGGAATTTTGTGTTGTATGTTATGCGTGATATTGTCAAGTAATAACCCTAAATAATCATCAGTAGGAGGAGAAGGGACGTAGATTCCACAAATGTTTAAGTCTTGTTCATTGCCATTTTTTATAGATATCCACAGTTCCTCACAAGATGACTCCCATTTAAATCGTCTGAGGGCTTTGTGTTCTTTAAGAATAGCCATAACTATACCTCCTCCATCTTTTTTAGTTCGGTAAGAGTGTGTGGTACTTCTGTCCCTACGAAATATATCATACCGATCGTCAAAAAGTTCCCCGTCAAAAACTGTGTCATTTAGCCACGACTCGGTCATCACTACCACGTCATAGTTACTAGCAAGAGCAGACAGATACAAATTTTCCGTTTTGGTTCACAATCCTCTAACATTTTGATAGAAAACTTTTAAATTGAATTTTAAATTTTAATATAATATAAATGACATGCCTAAACAAGTGATAACAGTAATTACATTATTTATGAATAAATATTACAGTGTTTTCAAAAAATCAATATTTTTCACCAAAAGTGCTGGACTATTGCGATTCTTACGAACGAAAACGCGCCCATTTCTAATCCACACGAAATCATATTTTTTTTCTTTAGCTATAGTCCTGGTCGCAGCGTGTAGTTGTTTATTTACCGGTGATAGGTGTTCAGTTACAATAATCGGTACTTTTTCTGAGGCTATTCCAAGATGTGTGGCATTGAGCTTGTTACGCTGATTACGCCTGTTGAAGTCCTTAACAGCAGCCAGAACACCATCACGAACCCGAGGGTTCGAGAGCTTGACAATTATATTTCTTGGGCGCTTAGAGTCCACGTTGGACTTAGCAACTCTATGAAGAGATAAAATGCCAGCATCAGGTACATCTAAGGATATCGTTTTTATAAGTTGTTTGAAACATGTTAACAAATTCTCGTTTTTAAACTCAGGAACACATTGTATTTCAATATTGCAATCTCTCGCTTGTTGTTCGATAAAAGTTAACTTGATAGTTAAATCTCCCATTTGAGAACGAAGAGACGCATTATCCTTAGCTAACTCACTTATCGTAGACTTAGTTTCATTATTAATTTTGATCTGATTATCATGACATTTCGATAAAAATTCTAAAGATCCGATTGCACCATCCAAATCAGAACGAATGGAGGATATACTGTTGCCGAGATCATTAACTTCATTTTTCAATTTGGATAAAATGGCATTTGATTTCTCGAAATTTGCTTGCTGTGCTTCAAATCGCAAATTCATATCGTTTCTTAGCTGTCGGATTTCTTCCAAGATTAAATTATTATTCTCCTGGTGAACAGGAGTCGTAGATGAGGATGAATTATCATTAATCAAAGTAGCCGGCTTCAACGTTCCCGTTACACGCCTGGGGCGAGCAGGAGAGCAGTCGTCATTTTTGCGTTTAGTAACGTTACTACAGGACGGGCACTTTAATTTCTCCAGTTGCTTGCTATTTACCTCATTTATTGAATTTTCATTTATATTCAGACACGCAAGGCAATATAAAGAAGTACAGGCGTTACATTTCAAGTAATTATTGTCCGAAAAATGTATTCCACATCCAGCGCAGTTCATATTTGCAATAAAAATATATAAATATTGCGTGCACCAATAATAAAGTACCCTGTGATATGTAGTAGGTAGGTGAAAATACAAATGTGCACGCTAATAAAGTCCCCTGCAAAGAACTCGATTTCTTCGTTGGATTGTTTGTATTGTTCGCGAGAAGAAGGTCTTAAGCGCCGTGGGAACTGCGTCGCTTACGCGTATTGTTGAGTTAACTTTCCTTTAACTATTCTGACAAACAGCAGTACACAGTTTTACGTACGTTTAGATTAATCCGTCGAATAAACGGGCTAAACAGGTCACTTCTGGTTCATACTTCTTCACAGTATTGACAAAACAAGGCACAATCACTTTTAAGAACGTTTAGAACTATTTTGCAGAAAAAATTGGCAGATTTAAGCCACAAAAATAAACAATTATATAGGAACGAATAAATATACGTCCGAGCTGTCGAATCTTCCGCGGAGAATGAAAAATACTTACAAACAAAAAAAGGAGTACAGTACATACTGTATTTTAAGGGTGTAGTACGTCATAATAGCGAGGAGGGTGTGTGAAAATAACAAAATAGACAAAAAGATTCTACTTCAATGCATTAAAGTTTAAAATTAAATGCATAACTTCAGATCTATAGGTGCTATTTACCGTAATGTTACTGACTGTAACATTTTTATTTCCATTATTATAAATATCTGTTTTTTAATTCTTAGATTATATATTTGCATTTAATTATTATTGGTAAGCAGTTAATGATGTATGCAAGTTTTATATTTTTAGAATGAACTCGTCAATACATTTAATTTGATGCGCATATTGCTGTAATTAAAGAAAAAATATTTTTTTATATTTTTTTAATGGCGTCATACATCCGCCATCCTAATATTGTTTAAAACATAGCCAGTGTCACTCGAAATAATGTAATTTTTATAATGATACACTATACATGTGTATATCTGATTAGTCTATTCAAAAGTTATGGTGGGATAAAACAAGTCATAATAACCCTAAACACAATACACTCCTTTTTTGGGCAGTCGTGTAAGAACCGGTGTCAATATCTTGATACCAGTTTAAATAGCCAAAATCAGCCTTTTGCAATATCTTAAATTCACGTTAATTTGTGTCGCCCAACTAAATAGTTGTAACCTAGCTAAAAGCTTACTGTAACCCGCGGCTTCTCCAATACTTGAGTCTTAAGCTAATCTTTACTTAAAAATCTGCCAGTGAGCATCTTTCATCTTTATATTATCATCATTAGCTGATCATCGACGCCACTGCTGTGATATAGGCCTATCCAAAAGATGGAACCAATTATGGGAATCTACCGGTGTTTATATGTATAACGCACGTCTTCATAAAACAGCCCAGTTGCTCTTCTATTGAAAAAAAATACAAACAAATGTTTTATTTGAAAAAATAGTCCTTTTATTTACTTTATTGAATAATTACTCCGTCATTTTGCTTGAATTGCGATATTTGAGTATATATTGTGCTTATTCTGCACTTTCAAATGAAGGCTTTCATTATAAGGGTTTAAAACAGCCTGATGCTTTACTTGTGTAAGATTCTACGCCTGGTCCTCATAGCAACTTCAGCTTGTCAACGGTCAGCTTGCTCTTACTTTCTCAATAAAGTATTATCAGAGATTTTAGTGCGTGATGTCAAATCAAATTTCGCCAACGTATATACTGCCATCTCTTCAATTTGTAGGGTATCGAACGAATCTAGTTTAGTCCACTCAGTATTTTTCTCTACGAATTTATTATTTAATTTTGATACTTGGAATTTAAGTGGCTATTTTAGATAAAACCTATTCCTACCGTTAGTATCTCATTTCAAATATTTGATGATTTTTGGTCATTCATACTCGTAAATTATTGGTAGTTAAGTACATTATATCGCAAATAATATAAATTAAACACCGCTCGGTTAAGTATTAAAGTATCTCGTTTATGGTCACACATATTATTTTATCGTCTAATGAATAATTCACCATTAAAATATATTATTAAAAAAAACCGGGCAAGCGCAAGTCGGACTCGTGCATGCATGAAAAGAAAAACGAAAAAATCACGTTTGTTGCTTTTAAAGTAGTTCGAATTTTTTTTAGTTAAATACATTTGACCGAATATTACTCGTTAACTTGACTACGGTACCCTAAAAACTGTAAAATTGAAAATGAAATCAACTTAAATCAATAAAAACGTCAAACATTCTGTTTGCTTGTACCAAAAAAGAGAAATAAATAGTAAAATTCATATACCATAAAGAGATTCAAGAACATTTTTTTTCTTCATATTATTTAAATATTAGCAATTATTACTTTTCTATGGAAATATGCAAAATGATTTTAGATTATATGAAAAGATACTACACTCTAACAAAGTAACAAAAACCTTTCATGAAAAAATGTGATAATTGGACGAACAAAATCACATTTAAAATTCACTTTTTGATAAGAACTACCACAAATAGGTGTTATATGCTCTCGGCATATTTTCTTTTATCATATTAATTAATCTATCTTTATTTCCCAATCTTTCCTCCAGTTAGAATCTTCACACCGAGTCAAGCATGGATTTGGTCGGGACCTTCGTTGTTTTCGTGTAAACGCAAAATTAATTTTATTTTAAAATTGACTGTGTATAAATTAACTACCTTTTGCCCGCGACTTTGTCCGCGTGGTAAAGTTACTTTGAGCAGCATTTCTAACGAAGATTCATTCGTTATATCGTGTAAAATCCCTGAAATAAAGTTTCATCCTTTATTTTATACCCTTAGGGGTGGAATTTATCAAAATATTTTCTTAGGGGACGCCTACGTCATAACATCTACCTGTATGCCAAATTTCAGTCCCATCCGTCTAGTGGGTTGGGCTGTGCGTTGATAGATCACTATGTCAGTCAGTCACCATTGAGTCATATATATTTAAGATAGATACTTGCAATATGCGATTTATGCAGAACTAAATATTTGGTAAATTATTTTTCAACTTGTACCTCTAAATACATTATGTGGTAAATACATTGTGTGGACAAGTCAATGTGTTCATCGGTCAAAATAGAAGAACAAGTCACTGTATACTTCCATTTCGAGCAATGAACTTCCCATGGCTGATAGTCTTATCTCAATTGCACACTTAATGTTGGCTCTTTTTCTTCATCATAATGTAGGAAAATTTCAGGAATATTATTGGAATCCGCGTCTTTCTCAGTATCGTCAATTTCTTACTTGTTTCATTGTCGCTATCTTCTTGATACAAAAAATCTTCTCAGGTACCATCTCAAAGAGGGAAATTAGTGATATTCAAGTGGAACAACAAAAAAATATCTGTTAAAAAGTTGTTACACAAACGGTCGCTACCGTGTAATTTTTACCCATGTTTACTTCATAGGTCTTTTGCTTCCAAGCGCGTGGCACTAACTGTCAGCCACGTGGACAGTACGTCCTTTGTTTTTATGCAGAAAGGTACCTACAGCAGAAGCAAATCTCAAAATGATAGAAAAAAGGTATATCTCAGAGATAAAGTGGATTTTTTGAGTATTTTTCATTAAGAATATTTTTCAGTATATCGTTGTGAATGGAAAATTGATCAAATATAACCATTAGAACAAATTTTTAATTAGAATTAGAAAGTTTAAATATTTGTAAAAATATTTCTTTCGGCTGTTTGGGTGAATTACCTGAACATTAATGAGAATATGCTCTGTAGTAACGAAAAAAGTAACAAGTGCTTGAAGAATCCGTCAGTCCTGTTAGGTCCTGAGTATTGCGAAAGGTCATAGGTTCAAGTCTTATATCAGAGTACTAGGTACAAAGTGGATTTTTAAGCTTTTTCATTAAGAAATATGATTTTATTTCAAAATAAAAAAAAGGATAAGCGCTGCGGCTCGCGATCGTTATTGTTAAGCAACTTTCGCAAGGGTCGGCCACGGGATGGGTGGCCAAAAAATATTATCTCGAGCTACTTCGTGCTTCGGGAGGCACGTTAAGCCGTTGGTCCCGGCTGCATTTGCAGTTGTAAATACCCTCCAATCCGCATTGGGCCAGCGTAGAAAGATCATGGGCCCATCCTCCTTAACCATCCATAAGGAAGGCCTGAGTCCCTGAAGTGGGGACGTAAAAGGCCTGATTGATATGTTTTTATTACCTCTGGGGTTTTTTCCGGTAGTGACGAATGCTGCCTTAAAGTAATATAGCTTACAATAATAGACGCTCAAGGTCATAGCGATCATCGTCATTTGATGAATCGTTCAATATAATCATTTGTAATTATACGTTTTATATCTGTTTTACTATGTTGAAATAAGCATCAAAATCGTAAAACAAGTGACACACTCGTTACGTCGTCTTTTATACTTAATAGCATCTCTACGACGACTAAGGCAAATTAATACAGACTTTTATTTAATTTCTAAGAAAGTAATATTCTTCTTGCAATAAAATATTTTTAAAACATTCGGTGAAAAAGTTTCCTTGAAAACTTTATGTTGGAAAAAGTCTAATTCTGGTTGTTATTTTTTATATTTAGTCATACGAGTATCTATCAGCATTGATCTTAAAAATATATAAAAATAATAGTATATTATTATTTAATAATAATAATAAAACAATAATATATTATTATTTTAGTGTTTATTATTTAGACAAAAACATGCACACATTACATGATACGATGCAACCTCATCATTAAAATCTGTTTCTTTGGAAACTTTTACAAACTGGACAAATTATATTTAAAATAACTTATCACGAAATTAATAAAATGTTTCCGTTTTTTTACTATTCATCTCGAGCAATTATGGAATTTAAGCAATTATGTTTATTATATATTTTAAATTAAATACTTATGTTTTTATTACAGAAAAAAAATGTCTAAATCCAAGGAATTTAAGTAGAACATTCGATCTATTCATGCTGATTAAATTTAACTGCAGGAAATAACAAACGGACAATTCAGCAAAAGTATTATTTATAAAAAGTATTTCGAAAAAAAAGTTTTTATTTAAATTCACTTAATAGAAGAATAGTCTTCCATATTACATTTATAAAGAAATCAATCATAATCTACTCAGCGAGTGCACAAAAAATAACCAAAGCCGCCATATTATATTTAAATTGTTACGTTTATAGTGTACCATTTATTGTCTTCCAGTGTGTCATATTTAAGTGACTTCTTATTGAAAAAAGTCGTTTTTCAGTCTTGACAATCTGTATGAAATAAAACATGGAGAAAAAAGCAGCCCTTGCCGAGTTTCTTGCTCGTTCTACTCATTACAAGGTCTCGCGCTGTAGATTTACAAACCGATGGCGTAGCCCTCGAGTTTCACAAGTGCTTGTAAAAGCCTAGCCTGACAAAATAATTTTGATTTGATTTAATTCTAAAATAATATTAAACAAATTCGCTATCTGTACGCTGAGATGTTGAACTATACATCGGATTAAATGAAAATTTCATCAATTTAGTGTGATTCAAGAGCACATTCCAGAGGATTTTTTATAGGGATGTATAATACAGAACCACGGGGCGAAGCCACTGGCGGAAAGTCTACCTAAAAAAAAATTAAATGCAATTTCAGCTTAAGTCGAAGCCAGAGAAATTCAGTTTCAAGATTTGCCTTATAAACGATTATAATTTATTTGTTTGAAAAATAAATGTGGTTGTAAGAGTTTCATTTATATTTTACATGTGGTACTTTCAGTAACTCCAATAACCGTCGCTTCTGATTCCTTTGTCCATTTTATTGCGTTATGATTATCCAATCAAAATTTTACGTTGTTGGGTTTTTACGTGAAAATTTTAAAAGCTGAAATTATAAAGAGTAAAAAATATATAAACGGAGGTACTTAAGATACCAAAGAAAAATCAATTACTCTTCTGCCATTTTCTCTGGTCCATTAATTAAGGCTCTCCTTATTGCACTAGATCATTTATAATAGTAATAAATGAATGACTAGTTACACCTTTTCCAATCGCAATCTGTACCTCAGCCAACTATAATATTGACATGTCTTTACTAATAATACAAAGAGGTAAAGTTCTCTCTTTGTAAGGTTATACGGAGCTACCTTCGAAAATTGTGATTCGATTATTAAAATTCTTCCACCGAAGACAAGTTTCATCATACGCTATATTTTACGCGGTCAAAGTTACGGGAAAACGGCTAGTATAATTTAAACTGTGTTTTTGTTGTATGAGCAAAGAGTAACTATATTTAAATAAGAGTTATCTATCTAAAATATATTTATATCTATTATTAGAAACTACAACTAGTGAGGTATAAATAAAACTATATATATTATTTCACTGTTTATAATCGAGAATACTGATAGGCTATTACCTCAAATTTAAGTTAATCGGAATGGGACATACCAAAGGAGAGAAAATAGAAGAATTCTTCGAATGAAATCATATGCTCTATAAAGAAATATCAGAATTCTGATGTCACATGCCATTGATTGGCAAAGTCGTAGGAAAATTGGATGCCATGACAACGGCATCTAGCAACGTTCGTGGTCACTCTTGGCGGCTGCCGTTACACTAAAATTAGATGCTGAAGAGGATGCCAGGGGGGATCCATGACGACTGGCATTGCAGAATATAACCGCCAACGAAAAAGCAGTGACTCAATCGCATATATTTTCTTGGAAGGGTGGAGGTAGGGCTACTTACATATTTTCTAATTTTAAAAGTTGAAGAAGAATTTGCTAGTGTCACTAATATGACATCCTAATGCAGCTAGAATATTATTGAATAATATGCTATTAGATGATTACAATACATCTCAATGTTTCAGACTCATTCTTATTACAAAGATATAAAAGTTTAGACGTTTGTTTACACGCTCTTTTGCTTCTCTGCCAGTTTGTTTTTAATCATTTCACGAAACAGTAAAATGTTTGGTGCATTTCCTTTCTTATAAAAGTCTTGCTGTGAACACTTTTGCAACCAATCAGTCAGTTTTGGATACCTAAAAGTAAACGACACATAATTATAAATCATTATTTGAGCAATAAGTCATAGAAAAAATCATAGAAGTCATCTTTTACCTCCTTTCTCTATAGCCGGTTTCAAGGTGCCACTTGTGTGGTCTAGGATTCGAGTCCCAGTCGGGCCAATATAAAAAAATATTTTTTATATTATTGCTTCTGTTTTGAGTTAAGTGATACATTCGTTGTTTCAAATACTTTATAAAATGAGTGCTTTGAAATTAAGAAAGGCATCTGATGTTATCTAATATTTTATCTATGTTTATAGACAGTTGAAATAAAACCATATTACCTTCCTCTTCTAGTGATTTTTTTTGCAAACAAGCTTTGGATAATATTGTTTTATTTAATAACTTACTCTATTTCATTGATGGGAAGTATCTCATTCATAGAACTGATAGTAGACACGCAGCAGATGTCGGCAATGGTAACGTGGTCACCAGCCAGCCAGGACTTGGTTAGAAACTTTTCCATGAAGCTATAGGCTTCCTTGAATTTTGCCAAATTTTCCGGTTTGAAATCCTTGTCATCTGAATATAATAAGGGTGCCTGAAATAAAGAGTTTTCTTAAAATCGAATTGATTCGATTCGAAATAAGTTGTTAATTAGCAGATTTTGAATCCAAGATTTAATTTGACTTTTGTATTTGTCATCTAATTGGTCACATTGGGCGCTTCGTTATATGACGCTGACTGTTTTATAAATACTTCTAAAACTTACAAAAGGATCAGTCTGTCAGGTATCAAACTATGTCCGATTTCTTACTACCCCGTTTTTTTCGTGATTGCATCATAAATTATATTTTATTTAAGTATTGGTAAAATCTACAAAGGATCAAACTAGAAATTAAAAAACCGATTATTATTACTACAAAACAATCGGTAAAAAGCAGATATACAAACTTCTTATTAAATTTAAGTTAAATATGTGTGTTTGTATAACCGTTTATATCAAATGCCTCGCGTGCAAAGGATTTACCAGGAACCTTGCCTCCCTATATAAAAAAATAAAAAAAATATTTTGAAATTATTTATGAAAATAGATGACAGTAATAATTTCAGACGACCTTAGAGACACACATGTGATCCTACAAGAATTCCCTTTTTTTGGTTATGAACCCTATTACTTACAACTGTTGAACGCAGCGTATTGAAGAGGACTCCACTATCAAAATGCAATCTTTGGTCGACAACTGCTCTCATTTTCGGATCCAACGGGTAAAGATTATCATTTCTGCCATATTTTGCGACTAAATACCCGCAGATTGCGTGACTGAAAAATACATTAAAAACAAGCCGTCTTATTATAAAATGAGGACGACCTTCGTAGCCGAGTGGTTCGCACGCCAGTTTTAAGTTGTCGCCATCTCTGAGGTTCCGGGTTCGATTCCCGGTCGGATCAATGTAGAAAATGAACTTTTCTATATTGTCTTGGGTCTGGGTGCTGTGGTATCTTCGTTGTCTCAGATACTCCATAATACGGGGGCTTTAGTACTCATCTTGGAATCTGGGCAATGTATGTGATGTTGTTTAATATTTATTTTTAATTCAATATTTTTATATTTAATCATGTTTAAACCATTAATTGACCAAAGTCTTGGTTTAACACTTCCAATACGTTTTTCTCTTCTGTTATTGTCAATTTGCTTTAGGCGGCCAATGGTTTAATTCAACTACTAATTTCAGTTTTTACTTGTAATAAGATGGCAGAAATATAATTATTGTAAGTAGTGGTTTTAAGACTGATTCAGAACCTACGGAAACGGTCGATTTTCCAAAGCACAAGAAATATATAACGATTATAATATTAATAAGTCTTATATTCGAAGTCAAGTGGGTGATTTGTGTTGACATTGTTAAGCTTTTTTAAGCCAATTTAATTTATTTTCTGTTTTGGCATTCGTATGACCAAATAAAACATTGGTAGACTTTTATGCTTAAAAAAAATTTTTAAATCATCAAAACTACTGAACCTTTACTGATTTTGATGAGACTTGTTGTTAATCTTAGTTGAAACAGAATAATCAAAAAAAAATTGCAATCCGTTATATATTCGTTATAATGTATACATCATACATTATATCAAAAGTAATTCGATGCATCATTTTCATGTTTGCGGCATTGTAGCTTTGCAAAGGTTTTTCTTTTTTCTTTTAATTTTTAAGTTATTGTACAATGTTTATCGAAGTGAGTATTCGAATTGAAAAATCTTTACTTGAAAAAATATTTTTAAGAAAAAATGCTTAAAAAATCCACTTTGTCCCTGGCACTCTGAGATGGGACTCGAACCCATGATCTTTCGCAACACAGGCGACTGTTCTAACCACTGAGCTGCCCAGGACCTAACAGGACTGACGAATTTTTCAAGCATTTGTTACTTTTTTGCGTATTTTTATCTACGTTCCGGCAATTTACCCAAACAGCAAGCAAACTATTTTTTATTGATCAAATGTATCTTTACTTAGTTCATATTATACTCCTTATGATATATAGGTATATAATTGAAATGTATAATGAAGTAGCTCGGTGGCGCAGTGGGTAAGCGCCAAGGCCCGCGATTGTTGTCGTTAAGCAACTTTGGCAGGGGTCGATCACGGGATGGGTTACCAAAAAATTATGATCTCGAGCTACTCTGTGCTTCGGAAGGCACGTTATGAAGTTAGCCCGGCTGCATTTGCAGTCGTGGAGGGTCAGGCCCATCCTCCTTAACCATCCATAAGGAAGGCCTGAGCTCCTGCAGTGGGGACGTATAAGGACTTATGATGAAGATGAATTGAAATGTAATTAATGTTTAAAAAAAAACTTTTATACACGAATACTCAAAATTTGCGCAAGTCCAACAATTATATGCTTACTAGTCAAATTGTCCCTCATTTCTGACATTGTTTATAAAGATTTATTTTAATATCACTGCAACGAATTCTAAGGAAATACAAATGCAATTCTTCTTCAAAATATTTTAAAGCTTAATCCTTCGCAGATTGTCTAGGCGCTGACAAATTGTTTGGAGAGAACGATATAATATTTCACTTTGTAAGTTTTTCTTTTAGACAGTGTCTGAGAAAAGCTGAGTAAAGATAAGTGACTGTTATTTTTCATTTCGCTTTTAAATTTTAAACGATGACAGAATATTTAATTTGCTACAGCTCTTCTCGAGATGAAAACTTTTGAAAACTTTGCTATTCTGTTTTGAGTGAATAAATGATTTGTTAAGAGATCTAAAATGACGTAACCTGTTTCCTGGATTATCGTCGTAGTAATCTAATTAATGGCTGCACTTTAAATTTGTATAAAGTAGTGTTATCTAGATACGAATTTATATTACGTTTATAAACTAACAAGCCTTTGATTGGATTAATTTGGATTTCACGCGCCAAGCTAGTTTTAGATTAGGTACACCCGTAAGTTATTATCTTTCAATTTCACCATGCAAGTTTATTACATAAGATCAAAAAACAAAAATGTATTTTTGATAGATAATTATCAAAAAGCCTGTCACAAATTTTTTTATTTCATCCAGTTTTACAATAACTTGAGTCTCTTAATGTTTTCTACTTCACAGCAAAGAGTGTTCAATACACGTTATAATGAAATATTACTTAGATCAACAATCTATATAATCAAATAAAAATGAATAAAGGAAATATTTATGTCAATAAAAACTTTTTTCAAAAAATAGAACCGACTTTAAACTTTGAAAAAGTATTTAATAAATTTGAAGGCGGGCGGAGGTTTTCTGTAGGTTATTAATTAAATGATAGGTGCCCGGCCCTGGCGGAATATCGATGAATATACATTGCCGTCAAACATATAACCTTCTTCTTTTCGATTTTGAAGTCGATTAAAAAATTGAAACGAAAGTGTCGAGATATCTTTTGTTGTATCAAAAAAGATTTTTATAAAAGATGATTTTCTAAAATTGTACGGAAGCCTGTAAATATGAGAAGAACCACCCGTACGAAGTTAAAAGGAGAAAATAGAAGGCATATAGGGGAGCAGCTAGTTAATAAAAAAATAATACCTGTCCCATATAAGAAAATCGTCGTCTTTTAAAAGGGGTATCGTATGTTGTGGATTCATCTGGAAAGGAAAATTTGTATTAGCATACATTGAGGTTAAAGGATTTACGGGGCGGCAGCGAGTTTTTGTCTCAATCGTCAACTCTATGGTGGTAGATTGTATTCATTGTAACTAAGTAATGTTACAGATGATCTCATCAAGTGCCTCGCCAAAATCTTGTCTTTCTCGGCGAAACCTTAAAATTTTTGATAATAGTATTTAAGTCTAGTCAATATAACAGTATTGAATTTCATTCATTGAATTGAATTTCAGTACATATAATAGGACTATGTACTTTAATAACTGTACATAAAATAGTAAAGTGTATGAAATTTTAAAATAAAAGGCACCTAAAAACAGATGCATATTGGTACGTTTTTGTTAGTCTAAGTACGATTAATTTAAAAGCTGTTAAAACGATTAGAAGCGGTAAAAAGATATCCAAAACATTATGCAAACGTCTAAATCCCACGGTTTTTTGTCGAAATGAAGCCTTAAATGTTCTGACAGGTTGACAGATCAACTTTAATCAGACGAATCCCAATAAACATCAAGGTTTATTTCAAGTTCAAGTTTCTCCTACGTAGCAGGCCCACAACAGGAAAAATTGTGTATAAAAAATGCATCAAAAATCACCATTACCAGGTTCCTCGAGATAGAAAAAAAGTAACATAAGTGCTTGAAAACTCTTACGCCCGAAATGCGAAATATTGTGGATTCGAGTATTTGCATTTTAAAATTTAAAAAAATGTATAAAAAATCCTCTTACTTTCAAATATTCTTCAGTTAAATGTTCCCCGTCTGGTAAATGAACATTGACGAACTTGACGTTAGGTATTTGCAAAGCATGGATTGCCATAAATACAGACCGTGACGGGGGGCTCGTGTCCTTCTTGTATAAGGTTAGCACCATTATGTTGAACCTAATTTTGATAGTCAATAAGATTTGTTATACAAATAAAACAAGAAATGAATTTTTTTTTTACAAAATGCAGATATTTTAAAAACATTAATATTTGTAAAATAGAGAAATGAATGAGGTCGATCTGTGTGTGATGCGGAATTGAAGCAGATTTGGCAAGGGTTGGTCAAGGGATGGGTGACTAAACATTTATTGTTTTGAGCTCCTCTATGCTTCGGGATGCACGTTAAGCTGTTGCTTTCGGCAGAATTTGTTGTACAATGTTACTTACGAAGTTTTGTAAATTACCAGTTTTATGAAGCAATCAATAATTTTTATTATTTTTAGTTGTTAACAACCACTAATCCGCACTGGGCCCGCGTTTTAGGTCTTAAATGATTATCCTTATTCGATTCCATTCCAACCATATGGAGGAGCAATTACTGCCTTTATAACTTTAAACCACGCTTTCTTGCAATTGAAAGAGCCTAGAGTTCGTTACTGAAGGTCATAACGTATTTCAAGAAATGTCTTTTTTCTACAGAGAACCTTTATCAAATTGCCAACCTACCATTCATTTGGAAATTTATATATTGATAACCTTAAAGTAGCATAAATCTATTAGCTATGATTCAAAATCAGCAAATAAAAAAAGAAAATGATATAGGTCCACAGTCCTATAGGTTCATAGAACAGTTTTCGCCAGAGTACATTACAATACAGTCAGCTTAATTCTATAATAAAATAATTATTAATTTATACAAATATATTTAAAAATGTAGTATAAAATATTGTGTTAATAAATATTAATTATTAATAAAAAAATAAATTTAATATTGGTTATAATAAACACAGAGAAGCCTGATTTAATAAAATCAAAATTATAAAACGACTACTTAAAATACATAAAAATAAGTTAAGTAGTTTTCAAGATATTGACGATTTTCTAACCGACCCGTTTTCTTTGCGGTCCAGTGTAGTTTGTTTATATAACAATAGTGACTATAGTAGTAACTTGTGATAGTAAAATTTAAACTAGACTCGATGAAATTACATTTTCAATTGTTTAAACAACTTATAAGCTGAAGTAGGTGCATTATATTATAGGATACAAAAATATTTTTAGACTACATGTTATAAGACAATAAAGTAAAATAATCTCAAAATAAAATTGAGATAATTGTATATACAATATTATAATTGATACTAATCATTAGATAAATAAATATAAAATTATTACTTACCAAATAAATGGACGCGTCCGAATGAAACAAGAATATAAAAAATACTAATAAATACCAATAGGTGGCACGGCGTGTTTATTGGGGAACTGGTTATTCTAATATACTGCTTTTGCTGGTTCAACAAGACTATACTAATGTAGCTTATAATATTCCTACGTGATCAAGTGGCCCATAGGCCGGTATTTCTTTTTTATTTCGCTAGGTTTCCATCATTGAGTAAAGGTTTACTGCGATTTTTTTGCTTGTTTTTTTTTCTATGTATTTATTTATTCACCTTTAGCGTTGAGGCTTCTCTTTTCCCCTTCTCTTTTTATCAACATATTATTTATCACTATTCATATAATTTGATCAATGCGTCCTACCAGTCATGACCCATAGGGCCGAAACGTGGAACTTGAAAGTAAAGTTGACCCACCGACTACATGTCACACAGCGAACTATGGAAAGGTCTATGCTCAGAGTATCTCTGAAAATCCGGTATGAGGTCAACCGGCAGATAACTAAAGTGATGGATGTCATGCGCGTTTCGCACCTCCACAAAGCTTCTTCAGGAGTTGTTAGACCTGGTTGGCATTGTACGGTCCAGTGCCAACTGTGTGTATCATACTTTCACGTTATTATTTCTGCTATTTGTTTAGTGGACGTATTTATCGTATGCCGGCTTTCAAAGTGCCGCCTCTTAGTGACACCGGAAAGCCAAAAAGAATAAAAAATCTTTAAGGTCCCTGTCCCGACTTGTGCGCCGGTCAAATATAGGAAATGAACATTAGTGCTGTGCTGATGTTAGTATGTTTTGCTATGTTCGTTGTTTTAGATTTCCTTCATTCAATTACTTAAATTTCAGTAGTTCACTTTTAAGTAGTGGTATACAAGAAATAAATGATATTTTTCTATTAGAGCGTTGGAAATAGATAATTGGTGAAGTATAATAAGAAATATTTATTTTTGCTTTTAATTAATTAATATTATTAATTACATAATTTAAAGCAAGTGGGCCGTATTTAGTTTCGAGTACCTATCTTAATCAATATTACATATGCGTAGTCACACTATGAATCGTGTCTTTGAATCACTAACCCCGCAATATCCTAAAACTTTAATCTTTACCAGTTCCCTATATTTAAATTCAACGGCACTGCGACAAATGTTTTATTTGCCCCTTTGCTATTTGAATGAGAGCCCACAGATTATTGACCGTGACCCAAAGGGTAAATCCACGTAAATCCATTTATTCGACGAAGGTAAGGCTCGTCTAATAATCTAGGGACAGGCAGGGGACATCATTATATGGTATGTTTTTATGAGTAATACTCGATGGTACCCAGATGTTAACACGTTTGATCTGCATTGCGGAAGTTAAGCAACTTTTACAAAGATCAGTCATGGATGGGTGACCAAAAATTTCACCCGATTCGATTTGTTTTGAATCCATATTTTGAAAAAAAACCAAACCTTAATAGGCTGACTTTGATGTTGATTTTTTTTTTCATTTAAAATATATATATATATAATATGCATTTGCCAGCAGCAGCTTTAATTTCCTAACGGGTTAATGTAGAAAATGAACTTTTCCTTATTTTCCAGGTCTGGCTGTTGTAGTGCCGTCGTTATTTTAGTTTTCCATAAGTAGAAAATCATTAGCCAGGATTTAATAACATGTTTCTTCTTCTAGTAATTGTATTTTTGTGTTTATATTACTTTATTGTATTACATGTACGAGTATTATACCATTTTTAAGTCTGACTAAAATTATTACAATTTATAATGACAAATTTCTTTTCAAGGTTCCACCTGTAAAAAATAAACGAAACCCTTTTCAGTCAGAGCCAATTTGCCTCTAAACTACTAGAATAATTGAGTTAAAATTTGGTACATATATATGTCGCATCATCATTACGAAGATCGTTTGATTTAGTTTCTTTTATTATAATTGCTAGTTACTCGATTACTTAATTACTCGATTGTAAAGAGAGCGTGATCATCGATACTTTTAATTTTATTAGTATGGTGACACTGACTTTGACAGTTCGTTTATAAAAACCAAGTTGCCGCCATTTTGGCACGCATTCTGTTTCCGATCGCCGAGGAGTAAAGACATCCAACGAGATCACGCTCATCTCGTTATATTTTCGTATGAAAAGTGATAAAATGTAACAAATCCACGTTGGTATACACGCCTGCAGTGTTATTTTAAAGATAGTCCTCCGATATGGACGATCTATTTGGGCTTCGTAATAGCACCTTCGGACTACCCGCCGTTATATACAATCATAAAAAAGATATCCATATCGTAATTATATACTTTAAACATATTAGAATGCAAGAAGTCGCTTGTTTTTAAAATTCCGTATTATACGAAACCAGATTGAATCTTGAAAATATTGAAAGAAAGCTGTTTACTAAAAATTAATAAGCATTTCTCATTAGTAGATTTCTAACTTGTTCGTGGAATTATTAATCTGAAATAAATTAGTTTGCGTTATAATACGCACTTAGAAGGATTTTAAGCAGAATCATTCATCTGTTACGTATAATTCGCATAATCGATTATACAAAAATGAGAGACTAAAATTAAATCACCATCTAAGAAAGCTTCTGTTTCCCGGAAGTGAACATTAGTCCCTTGATCTTGATTTCATCGAATTAATCAACATGAATCCAGTGCTTATCTTTATATCACAATTAATTAACGTTGAAACAGATTTGGTAGTGTGTTTTATACTCATTTTAATATATATGAGACTGTTTCATTCATCATCATAGTCCCTTTTACGTTAGATTGTATAAGACGGGTATTAACATGATAAAATTTTCGATAGTTAGGTTTTTCACCTACCTATATTTCCCGACGTTTCGACAAGGTTACACCGGCCGTGGTCACGGGCTGACTGTTTCTGCGATGCTACGTCTCATCTTCTGAAGTGGAATCCTCTTCTACCGTCCAGCTTTTTCTCCAGATACCGCCACAGCCCTTCTACGTACTGCAGGGTCTCAGGCCTTCCTTATTGATGGTTAAGATAAGAATTGGTGGGTATGAACGATTGCATATGCAGTCGGGTCCAACGGCTTAACTTGCCTTCCGAAGCATGGAGTAGCTCGAGATAGTAATTTTTGCTCACCCATCCCGTGACTGACCCTTGTTTATTTTTATTTTTTTAACCAACTTCAAAAAGGAGGTTCTCAGTTTGACCTGTATGTTTGTGCGCGATTATCTCGCGTTGGACTGCAACGATTTTGTTGGTCTCCAGAAAAGTATTTTTAGTGTTATCTTATATATAAAAAAATATCAATATCACTAAAACTCATCAAATAAAAACTTTTTTTAAAACTTAGAACCGACCTCAAACTAAAAATTTATTAATAATACTCGTAATCATTTAATTAATAACCTACAGAAGTCCTCCGCCTGACTTTAATAGCATTTTCTTGAACAAGTTGCTTTTGAGATAAGTATTATTTTTCTCCTTTTTAAGGTTTTTATAATGTGTAAATACTTCAAATGAGAAGTTTGAATGGTGACTATTCTTTTTTATAAACAAAAATAATCTCTAATGTTTGAAGAAGCTCAAGATCTTGACAAGTATGATGATTACGACTAATTAGGTTTTTTGATGATTCTTTGCTCTCAATCAATATTTTTTACGATAAATCTAAAAAATAATACACATGTCAATTTTCTTCTGCTTCTTGCAAGTTCATAAGATCTTGCCTAACGTTTAAAGGAATCAAGATATAAATTGAAACATTCACAACGTATTTAAAAATCTC